AATGTATCTTCAATTATTAGAAAAACTGCTTCTGATTAGGATTTTGGGGCATGTTTGGATCAGTTTATAGGAGTTTTAGCTTTTGAATACTATTTATGTCTCATGTATTTAAATTTTTTTTAAAAAAATTTACACTTTTAAATATTTTTTTAACATTTAAAAACTCTTAAACAGTAAAAGTTCAAAAGTTTCAAATTCAAACTTTTCATAAATTTCATTTTTATTTACTTTTCACTCACTTTTTCACATTTTTAAAAGTTAAAATTCTATTTTTTCTCCAATAAAAATTTAAATTTATTACTCATAACAGTACTCAAAAAGCAAAAACTCTCACAAGTCACACAAAATAGACTCTTAATGATTTAGTGCTCGTTTGGTGTGGTCGAAGTTTTTAATAAAAATTTTGTTAAAAATAAATTGTCAAAGTATTATTTTTATAAATAAAAAATGAAAATAAAATAAAAATAATGTGTTAATTTTATTAAAATCTAAATAAAAAATTCCTGTAAAATATTAATTCGGTGCTTTTAAAATTTATAATGACACAAATAAAGAACTAATTTATGAAAAATTATAATATTTTTTATAAATTATAATGTTTAACACAATTGAAACTTTTGAAATAAAAAAAAAACTTATCCACCAACGGTAACAGACATACCCTTAATATGCCCTTCAAACCACGGCGGCACATTGTTCTGTCAAATTCCACTAACTGAGATTTTTACCAGGTCAGTCTATCTTGACTTTACGAAAATGAAATTAGAAAAATGAATTTCCAAAGCATTATTTTGTGTTAAGTACAATAAAATTCTTTGACATTCAAAAGTTAGTGGATTTCATCCTTCCTCAATTATTTTGGGTCGCTTTGGTCCTACCATTAAAATTTGTGCTGATGTGCAAACGGCAAGTGTTAACTATAACTTTTTTTAAAGAATTGCCACGTCGGAAATTAGAAGAAACCGAAGGACCCACATATCTTCTCTGTCTCTCTCCTAGTCCTCGCCATCGCCGTGCTCATCTGGAGTCGAAATATGATATTGATAATGCTCATTGCTCAAATGCTTTCCTTCAGATTTTTTTTTTTTTTGTGTGTGTTTCTCTCTGTTCTTACTCCCCTCTGTGCAGAGGACTACAATTACCCTTCTGATTTGGGTCATAATTCATCTAGTCTCGCCAGAAACAGCAGCTCACAAAGACAACCCTCAATAACCTCCTCTCTTCTCTATCTAACGCATCCAACAGTACCAGTGATAGGATCTACAACACCACCGTTGGACGAGACCCCAACACGTGTATGGCCTCTTTCTCTGTCGCGATAATGTTACAATTGAAAATTTTGCCTGAAGTGTATTGCCTTCGCCGGCATTGATGTAACTCAGCGTTGGCCCACTGGGTATAAGGCCGTAATCTGGTATGAGCAGTACACGGTCCGTTATTCAAAACGGTCGATCATCTCCATCATGACCACCGACCCAAATGAAGATTGGGTGATTTATCGGGATGTTCTAGAACCGGACCGGTTTAATCAGCTTGTGGCGGGGGCGGTGAAAGATATAGCAAAACGGGCTGCGAATGCTCTGGCAGGGGCTAAGAAGTTTGCGACCAAAGAAGTGAAATTTAACGAGTTTCGAGACGTGTATAACCTCGCACAGTGCATGCCAGATATGTCCGGCGAAGAATGCAACAGATGCCTTCAGTTTGCAATCGGAGGCTCACCGTAATGTTGCAGCGGAGAAGAGACAGGATTTGCGTTGTACCCAAGTTGTATTCTTAGATATCAAATTACCCCCTTTTATTGCCAAACCGAAGCTGCAGCACTGCTGTCTGGGCCGCCTACTCGACCTCCTGTAAATCCTCCATCTCCAGGTCAGGCTATTAAGAAAAAAAAACTGAATTCTAAAGGGAAAAATCTGTTGAGTAGACTGTAGAGGATTGATTAACAAATTAATTAGTGATAGCTTTGTCGGGGTTTTGGGTTTTAAATGTGAAATTGAACTCTCTTCTTTGCATAGGGAAAGGACAGATTTCATCAGATACCATTATCTGCATTATTGTTTCAACAGTTGGTTCCTTGGTGATTTTCTCCATTGGCCTGCATTGGATCTGGAAAGCAAGGAAGAAGAAAACTAGACAGCTAAAAAAGGATAATGGTATATGGTGAAATGAGTTTATTATATATATGCTCATATATTATTTTACCTGCTCTTGTTGGTTTAGCTTAATTCCTATTGTGATTGTAGTATTGTTTTGGTGTGATTTTCAGTTGGAAGCAAAACAGGGGACCAATCATTACAATTTAATTTTTGTATATTGAAACAATTAATTGGTTATAGCCCAGAAATTGAAACATTGTAGGGAAATGCAGTGGAAATTTTATTAGGTTCTTTAATTTTTTCTTATTTGATAAGAAGTTTTTGGAGTAAAATAATCATATAACTTGTAGTGAGTTAAAGAAATAACATATAATATAATTTTAATTTATTTAAAGACACTAACAATTTATAATTCTCATATGTTACAAAAAAATTAGTCCCAAAAATATAACGTAACTTGAAAAATAAAACAAATTTAAAAAAAGAAAAGAAAAAGAAGAAGCTAAAAGTGTATATATAAGTACGTAGCTATCCCCCTTGCTTCTTAGGTGTTGGTTACATAATCACAATACATTGAACGACACCAAAGCAGCTTGCAGCAAGATAATAGCTGTTAGCCTGAAGTCATTGCTCCCCAAGTTTCTCTAACACCCTAACCTCAAAAAGTTCGAAATCAAACCTTGTTACCACGCTCACATAAACTAGAAGTCGCAGCAGGACTCAATTCACCATATTACAAAACGAAACAAATCCGACCATTAGAGGAATGATATTGCACTAAGGACGACGCTAAACCTCACTTGCAGAGGTATAAGGCTACACCATAAGATCGTACAAACCCTTACTAATGAAGAGATGAAAAGGGCAGCACAAATTCTCACAAACGGAGAAATAAAGTAGCACATACAAAAGATTGAACAAGAAGTAATACAAATTGTAATAATATGTTGCAAAAACACATAAAATTAAATTTGTTTTTAATTTAAATTTACAAAATTTATAAAAATCAAAACTAACAACTACAACCATATTAAATGGATTTAGAAGTCCTAAAATAAAATTTAAAATTTTTTATAAATTAACTAAATTTAGAGTTTTGTGTATTTTTTAAAATTTTATTCTCAATAATTAGCAATTATATTAAACAGAACCTTAATTTTCAAATATTACATGAAAAACTGAAACTCATTCTTCTGATTACGTGGGCATTTTAGTAGGCTCCTAATCATTTAAAATTGACACATTAAAGGTTGAATATAAGGGTGTTATAGTCTTTTTGTTATTGTTTTCTATTATGTTTAATTTCTATATTTTTTAGCCAAAAGATTAATTTCTATTATTTTTTAATGAAAGTGGAATGGTTAGCTGTAAAAGCTAATAAATACTATCTCGTTCTCATAATATTTTTCCACAAATTAAAAATTTAGGAAATAATTCATATATTTATATATATTACTCTTAAAATAAAGATAGAGATAAAAATAAAATTCTAGTGATAAGATAGATAATTATACTTAAAGAATTATTATATGATTAAAATAAAAAAAAATATTTGTTTTTTTGAAACTTAAAAGGAACAATTAATTTGAGATAAGTTTTAAATAAAAAATGATAATTACCGCAAAATAAAAAGAGTACTATAAATCATTAAAGAGTTATTAATTAGTTAATTGTGGTATTTTTAAATTTTAATTAATTCATGAATTAAGAAATAATAGAATTCAATTAAAACAAGTGGATGAATATATATTTAATTACTTATATGAAATGCCATGCAATTAAAAAATCTTTTCAAGTAGGTAATTTTATGTTAGTGTGAAAAATTAAAGAAAATAAAATACTTAGTTAAAGAGCACCACGTGAGCACAAAATCAATGAAGGGACAAAAAGGGTGCTAGAAATTCTTTCTTGAGAGACAAAAATGGCATCTTTGGAATCTATAGACTGAAGAGGGATTTTCTACAATAATTTACGTACCAAAATAAGGTTTTAACAAAAAAAAAAAAAAATCAAATTGAGTCATGTATTTTCACATTGAAACTTCCTAGGTTGAAATCCACCAATAGCCTATCAACTCTTTAGGTTAAGGTCTAGGAGTCATTAAAGACTTAAATTCAAGTTATTAGTAATGGCTGATCCCAATACTTATATACTATCCCTTTGCATATGCACATGTGGGATTTGCCTAATTTTCTCATTGAAACCCACCCACCAATAGCTTAAAAACTCTTTAAGTTAAGGTTCACAAGCTCTTAAAAATTTAAGTTTAAATTGTTAGTAATGCTTGATCTCTACACTTATATACCAAACTCACTTGTAATTTCCTTAGGATTCGAAGTATTACAATCTTCCCTACTTAAGTGCTTGATGTCCTCATCAAGGCTCATCTTATTCCTTCTTTAGTTGCTTCGACGAAGGTGAGTTGAGAGAGATTGCAATATCTAAAGAAGGAGTGCGTAGAAGGGGGCTTGGAAACCCTTGGCTTTTGGTGAATGATGGTGTGAACTAGGGTGAGTCTAGGAATAGATGGCTTGCTGGGAGTGGTATGGGTACTGGTGCAGTCTATCGTGAAAAAAGTAGGCTAACGTTAGGGTGTGAATTGTCAGAATTAAGCAAGGATTTGGCTTGGTTTTTAAGGAGGTCCAATCAGATAGGCAAGAGGTGGCTTGAAGACAGGATGGTGGTGGATTGTGCTTGTTGACAAAGGTTTGATCTATGGAGCTCTTCCTAGGTGGTAGCTTGTGACAAGTGTGGTGTGGGGAATCCTTACTAGTTTTCAATGGATGGTTTCAATGAAGAAAGTTTGGGTGGGGGCTGGTTTTTGGGGCAAGATTGCTTGGTATCTTCTGTGAGGGTTTTTGTGAAGATAGATTTAGTTTAAATGGGATTTTTGTCATCGATTCTTAGGACACCTTTCTTTGCAAAGGATATTGTTGCAACTGATTTTTTGTAGAGTATCGTGGTTTTGAAACATGAAAAGTGTTTTTGTAGGTGTTCAAGGTTTATATCTGATAAGATAAAGGGCTTGATAATGTGTGCTGTTCAAA